ATAAATTGGACGTAGCGCTCTTAAAGTTTAGGCCACCGACTCCGAATTTCGGTAATCAATTTTAATAATTTTGACTCGTTGTTAGATCGTATATCATTCTATGATCAAATGGCAAATATTACTGAAGAGAAATGTCAAAAGAGCCGGAAAAATATGACGACGTTTTTCGCTTGTATCGATCTACTTTTGTAGCATCCCTATTGAAAATACCGTAATATCTCGAAGACCTGTGTAAGTTTTCTTTAGGATCGGTTGAGTAGTTCGAGAGAAATATTAACAAGCGGTTTTGAAAATACAGAGAAAAACGTGTTTAAAGATTTAAGTGAATATGTATATGTACTCGTATCTGACCTCTAGTGCCCTACTTTTTAAGGTTGTATGTTCAAAACTATTCTCGGATGAACTTGAGAATTCAGAACAATATTCTAGAGATGTTATAGAATTAATTAATATAATGTATAAAAATATATTTTTGAAATCCGTACAACTCCTTAATGAAGAACTAGTGTCATATTCGAGATCGTACCTCGTTCAGGTCTATGTTATCCAAATGGCACTGAATTTTTATTCAGGCAATCATTATCGAGTCAAAATTATTCTGCAAAATTATTTTTGGAAAAATGTCTGCCGCTACAACAATAACAATATAATTATAGTTAAAAACATTTGACAACAATTTTATAATACTACATCACAAAAGATATCGTATAAAAAGCTGATAATATGATGTTTCTCTGAATTTTAACATTTCTGAAATGAAATTGTTGAAAAATAAATATATTGTTACCTAACTCTATCACAGGGTAATCATTTTTTCGAGTAAGAGGGATCTCTGATCTGATCTGATCAAATTTGACCCGGATTRTTCCATTGATACATACTTTTTTTCTATATTGTCATTGTTAAACTCTGAAACTTTTGCAAAATATTATGTCGAGTAGAGGTCATAGCAGAGGCGATTGTTAACTTAGGGTAAAAATTTGTTTTAAAATACGTGAAAAGCTAAGTTTTTTGTCAGTCCGGGTCAAAATTGATCAAATGGAATTTTTAGTAAAAAAATTTATTTGAAGATTCACAAAGTTTTATTTTTTATTTTTGTTAAATCAAAGCGCTTTTTTGCAGCAAGTGCGCATATACTTTGCAAAAAATACAACAAATCAATTTTAGATTTACTTACTCTCATTTATAAATATATATATATATCTATGTATCTATATATGTATGCACCTTATACATATGTATTATGAATGTGCATGCCTCCTCTGAATAAAGATTTATATTTTAGGATTCTATTTGCGCCAGCAAATCTAAAAAATGGAGCTACAATTAAACGGTACCGTTTCTCTGCTTAAAACAATATACAATTTAAATTATTTATACATATGTGTATGTATATGTATATGTATATATATTCAGATATGTAAATATTTTTCATGCAAGTCACGCAGATTTTTCTTTCAACATTGTAGGCACTAAGTTTTCCGCGCCTTATAAAAATACTTTAATACAACAAGAAAAAATAACAACAACAATGTGAATATAAACATGAAAGCAAACCATAAAAGTGCAGATATAAACAACGCTATATGGCTAGAGGGTTGAAAGTAGTGATATTTGCAATATAAAATTTTTTTATTGTTTCTCAATGCTTTAAATAATGTAATATAAATAAATATTTTTTTTTGGTCTAATATTTCGCCAATGAAAAATTGCGAGCAAATTATTTACTTTAACGCCAGTGGAGTACTTTTAAGGCCTGACGGACTAACACACTGGCCTACGACATACTATGTGTTTTGATAAAAATTTTATTTTTGTATTTAACGATATTCATATTGATTCTACTAAGGATCCCGAAATTTTCCGGGATCCCGAAATTTTCAAATTGCGAAATCTTAATATTTTTCCATTTTAATAATGTTTAAAAGAATTTAAGTTGATTTTATTAACGAACCCAAATTTTTCGGGATCCCGTTTTCAAATACCGAAATCTACAATTTTTGGTATTTTACTACGATTTTTTTTTATATTTTCATACCATTTAATAGCACTGATTTTCATTTTACTATCATTTTCGAAATTATTCGGGATCCCGTGTTTAAATCCCGAAATCTTGAAATTCGAAAAAATCGCAGTTTTGTATACCTTGTATGCACACTGCATTAAAATTACTAAAGATTCCTAAATTCTCCGGGATCTCGTTTTCAAATACTGAATTTTTTTTGTATTTTAATGCTATTCCATAGTATTGATATTGATGGTTTTAACAATTCTTTTCGTAATTTCATTTTACTATCATTTTCCGAAAATTTTCGGGATCCCGTGTTCAAATTCCGAAATCTTAAAATTCGAAAAAATCGCAGTTTTGTATACCTTTTAGTCACACTGCATTATATGTAATTACTAAAGATTTCTAAATTTGTTGGGATTCCGCTTTCTAACATTGAAGTCTCATAAGTTGAAAATCAGCACAGTTTTAATTAATTAATATGCACACTGCATGATTTTTATTTTAGTTTGCAATTATAAACATTGATTTTACTAACATCCCGAAAAATTTCGGGATCCCGTATTGAAATCCCGAAATATCAAAGTTCGAAAAATATCACAGTAAATATCTTTTATTTTAGTTACCAATATCGCACAATTATTTTTAAACATATGTACATACATACGTATTTATATATGTATGTATGAGTTTGTAGTATATGTAATGTATTTGGCAATATGATATTATCATAACTAAAATTGGCGAACGCTCTTATAGACATAATAAACAGTATAATGAATTTTAATATTTTCATAGAAATTTCGTTCATTCATTACATCATATCGCAACGTAGCAATTAGCATAATTCATTCACATTTAAATAGATATGTATGTACATACATACGTATGTATGTGTCCGTGTAAATAAAATGTATCAGAGGTCAGTTCGCTGTAAAAATAGGCTTTTATTCATGAAATAAATATGCAGACATAAATATGAAAACAATGTTACTCATACGCCCCGCTGGCTGTTTAATATCCAAGTCATGGGGTTTCCATAACAAAACAATATTAAACATCAAATATATGAAGGGAGTTTGTCGGAGATTTTCCAAAAATAAAAGGTTTCCATATACCAAAAAGAAAAGTGAAGTAGTCAATAAAAAATTCTAGAAAAAATAAAATAAATTGTTTTAAAAAATTACATCTTTTTTATTATAATGTAAAAAATAGAAAAAATTATTAAATAGTAATAATATTCGAAGAATATGGCCGGATAATAGGACATTATTAAAAAATTGTAATATTCGCGCAAAAGCCTAATCACTCATAAAAGCTCGGAAAGATTTTATAAATACTGAAAGAATTTGAGACAATTTGCCATGCTTATTCTTCTTCTTTTTAAAATGGAAATTTTTTCAGGACACTCAAGGTCGCACTTAATCGTTTTTCGTTTGAGAGTATCGCTCTGCCTTCCACATTTTATATCTACTTTGCACTAAGCTTAAGCATACCCAGCCCAATAAATCCAATTTTAGGGTCTTCCAAAATCTTTTATATATTTTTAAATTTTTTTACCCTGAGCAGACTATATTAAGTTTTCTCCAAAATTTCTGAGTGATCATAATGACGATCTAAATCGATTTAGACCGACGTATGTATTATATGTATATGTATGTACGTCTGTCTGTTTAAATACGCATTAGTCCTTCAGTTTATGTGATATCGATCTGAAATTTTTTCACACAAGCTTTCCTTAAGAACAATCTATTCAATTATCAGAACCGTCGGTAACGAACCGATTTAGGCCGTTCCCATGACAGCCGGGCCTTCGTTACCGGAACGAACCCGGATTTTCATTCGGCCAAGGACTGTGAACACGTCAAATTTTGCCGCTATAACAACAACAACCGATTTAGGGTGTAGCTGCCATACAAACTGATCAATCGAACTCTGTACCGACCTCCCCTTTAGTGAAAATTATGCACGTGTTGTTTGAAGGTTATGTCTTACAACAAGAAATAACGCTTCAATTCTATTAGCGCCTTGTTATAAATAAAGCGAGTTAACATTTGCCTAGACAAAATCACATAAACAAATATACATATTTGCACACATATTGTAATATATTGTTTATTTTTTAATTTTTTGCTGGAAAAGTGTAAATCCGAAATAGATAAACTAGATCAAGTGCACATTGCCAAAACACATATCCGACATACTTTTGTACATATATTGCACCTATGTTTTTTTGTCTGTATGTATTGCACATATGACGCCTTTAAACATCTGAGATTTTACACCTCCACTTACGAAGAATCGTGGGAAATGTTATTATTTCAAATTGCATGGAATGCATTAGTGTAGACATCATTATTAATGAGTAAAATGGAGGTCTGGTTTTTATTGTTGTTTACTGAAATAATGTTGCTAAGACTTACTAAGTATTTTATCGAAATTTAACAGTTCATTGAAGCCCAATTGAGAGTAACTTCAGACGTTGAAGTAGTGAGAGTGGGAAAACGATAAGAAATGGTGTTGGGTCACTCTACTCAAAAACAGCTGATCTTGTCAAATTATTAGTTCATATTTCTCTCTAAGTTTTCAATACTCATGTTTGGCTCTTTAAGTAGATTGCGCTTCTGAATATAGTTTGATATCTGTGATCAATTAAAACCTGAGCCCAACATCAAACTAAGTCAATATATATTATTATTTAGTAACTCAAATCTCTTATTATTACATTTAGCAAATTTCATCGACGGATACAAACCCTTTATTTATTATTTGTAAGTATACAATTACTTGGAATTGCAAAATATTTTACTTTCCACTTATTTATTTATTGCATTTTTACTCAGCATTTTCTTTTTAATTCAGTACTAAATACTAACTTTTTGTGACAAGCACAATTGAGGTCTATACGCACCCTAAACGTACTAAGTATCGATATTTATCGAAATATTTGAAACAAATCGAGTTATGAGCGGCATAACTAGCCTGCGCTATTGCATCTTCAGATGCTGTGCAATATTTCCTTTCTTCGTGTTTTTGTTAACGGTATTGGCAGAATTAGTTTCTAGAACCAAGTTCAGTGCTTTAGTTTGTTAAAAATCATTGTTTTCTGATAAAGTTTATAAAATCATAGAGCACTTCGTGTAGCAAATAATACGAGATGACTACGGAAAAGGATAAACATGTCTCTGTGACGCACTTCATTAATCCGCAACTATTTTGGTTTCACGAAATTTGTGTGCCAAATCCGGCTTATCACGAAATTAAAGAACTGGAAGAGCAGCTTGAACAATATTATAAAACACATCAACCATGGACGCAAGCTATACGTAAGCCGACAGTTGATATGCTGGTGGCTGTAAAATTCCTATCCTGGCACAAAATGATAAGAGCACGTGTTGAACATATTGCAAATTTCAGTAAAAATACGCAAGGTGGTGAATATATTATGTGGGCCATTGATTATGGTTTTCCATTTCAAACAAAATCGGAACAAATATTTCGTTTGCCTGATAAGTTATCACGTCCAGTGGCGCATATACAACGTGGTGGTTTGGCATACTTAACACCAGCCGAAACGGACTTTGATTTTCGTATGAGTTGCGCTGTGACAAATGCCAAAGAGAATTGGAGTCAACGTGCATGTGAATTGATGGACAAATTATTGAATGAATCGGAATCGGTTGTATTCGTTGAGAAATTTCAGCACGACGCACATTTTTGGGGCGATCTAATAGTGACCACGCATTTGGGCTATAAATGTAATGTGCGTGATTATTTAATTGGCATAAGTGTGGCTTTAGATGCCGGTCCGAGTTTTCGTGAAGCATGTACAAATTTGAAAGCCACGAAAATTTTGCCATGGATGACAAATAGTGGTAACAGTAAATTTAGTGCAAATAAAGGATTTTTGTGCGAAGGTATCGGACGCGATGATAAAAAGCTGCAACAAACAGTTAACAGCGAATTGGATGATTATGCAAAGAAAAAAGTAGAAGATTGGTGTGCAAGAAATGAGATAGCTAATCTTCAAGAAGCCGCAGATTTCGAAGAGGACACATTGCTCGACAGCGTCAAATTCGACGATTCAGTGTCGAACAAAGATTTTGAAGTAGGCACGCTAAACAGTGTTGACACTGTGGAAATCACTAAAGAAAACAAAAACGCTGGTGAATGCGAAAAACTACTGAGTGACGACGATTCCGGCAATTCTATACAAAATTGTGAAATAACTGAACAGAAACTCGGCATGGCTGGTACATTGACAAAATCTCTAGAGCTGAAGTATAGTAAACAGCAATTGCCGCCAGAACCAAAAATTATTGATTTTGATGTGTCCCTTGATTCCGAAAAGGAATCATTGAAAGAAAATGTGCCGCTTGGCAAGGAAAAGCTGCTTAGTGGTGTGGAATCGTTAGCATCCACGAGAAACGGAGTTTCGAGAAAACAAAAATTGCTGGAAAAACGCAAACAGGTAAATAAGTTTAGTTTTAAAAAGTTTGTTGTTAAATACAAAATAATTTGTATACAGATAAGCAACAAACACACTGATGAATCTATTATAACCGACAAGCTGCAAGAGTTATCACTAAAATCTGAAATTAACGAGAAGAATAATAACCTTATAGAGTTAACATCCAACGCAAGCACTACGATGGAGTCTGATATTGGAAAATCTATGGTATGTGAAAAATAAATTAATTAGCAGCTTTGTAAACAATTGAATTGAACATTATTTATTTTTGTAAATTTATTATAATATTATTTTGTAAACCTAAATGCAGAATTTTCAAACCAAAAGTTTTGATCAAAAATATTCCCATACTTGATTCTTATGAGAATATTAATAAATACGTTTGTAAAATTCTTGTTTAATATTATTATATTTTACTTTATTTTTAAGCGCAAAACTATTACTGAGAGTAGCGAAACCAGCGTGGTTTCAACAAATGTAACCAGTACTCGCGCAAAACGCCATCTCCTCAATCGCCAGCGGGCATGGATTAAGCAGGAAGAAACCACCACTGACAGCACATCTACCAATGAACTTACACCACAAGCAACCACTGTCTCCTCCAAACGTATGGAGTATTTACGAAAGGTATTTCAATGAACTCTTTAGCAAAGTAATGCAGTAATGCTATAAAAAAATATAAATTTTTCGCAGCAACGTTTAGAGAAGCTTAAAACGGAAAAGCATGAAGAACCCAAACAAGAGGGTGCTGCAGAAGAACCCATTGGCAAAACTCAAGACCAAGCACCATCGAATGAAGTGGTTGAAAAGAGCACAGCGCCGATTGCTCCCGCTAAGTCCAGCGCGCATTTAGGTCGCTTGTTAAACTTGCGCAAAAAGGTAATGCTCGAAAGTATTCAACAGTCGGGCTAATTTGTATGACTTAAAAAATAACCTTAAAACTAGTATATATGTAAAAATAATGCATTTTGTGCAGCATAGCGAGCCACAGCAATCCAAACAAGTTATTACACGCGCATTTTTACCCAGTAAAAAGGTAAATGAAAAGCGTTTGATAATAGTAAATATTAATAAAAAAAAAAGCACACTTTTTGTGAATCGCACCAACATACACATAGTATAAATTATCCTTAAACTCTTTTTTTTATACATACTCCTAGCTGTTAGCAAAACAATATTAGAAATGCATTATATATTATCTTTTTTTAAACAACACGCATGTAATACATAAATTTATATGAATTAATTAAAAATAAACATACATACAAATATCTATGTATATGGTTATGTATTTATTAATATTAAATATCGGCTGTAACTGATTTTATACTGGAGTAGCCAATAACTTAACGAAATACTAGGGTAAAAGAAATGAAACGATCTATTTCAGGTTAAGGATGTTAAACCAGACTCATATTTCGAATTAACGCAGCCACGTTTGCGTCCGGCTGCAGAGGTGCGTATACAATTTCTGGAAAATATATTGCGGTGTTGCTTAAATTTTATTTTATTTTTCTATGCACATTCTAAAGACCTTAAAAGAAAGCACCACCTTCCATGGTTTACGCATGATACCAGCCGGTTTTGATATAACCAATTTAAATCATTATAAAGACGAGAAAAATCATTGGCATCGCAAGGCAACTACGCGCTTTGATCATGTGCCGCACGACCTAGATGTGGTAGCAATGGAAAAGAAGGAGACGCAACAACACAAGAATGCTGATAGTGCTGGGCCCAAAGCAATGGAAACTTCAGCAAGCACAGCAAAGCATGCAAATATATTAGATACCACAGTGCCAGAGTTAAGCGAAGACCCCATAGATTTTAGCATAATTTCGGAGGCCAAAAGCAAGGGATCTACTACGCCAGAGGAGCTGTCACCCTACAGCAGTAGCAAGTAAGTGGTAATGGTAAAGGAAAACTTAATTTCTATATTTTTATACCCCAAAGAGGTTGTAACATACAGAAGGTATAACAGAAGGCTGTATAACAGAAGGAAGTATATAAATAAATGCTGAACTCGACGAGCTATGTCCTTATGACCATGTTTGTCTGTATAGACGCGAGCTAGTCCCCCAGTTTATCAGTTATCGCTCTGAAATTTTGCTCACGTTGCTTTCTCTCAATGTTGCAGCTCATTTGTCGGTATGGCCGATATCAGACCACTATAGCGTATAGGTACCAAACAAACTGAACGCTCAGAATCAAGTTCTTGTATGGAAAACATTTTTATTTGATGAGATATCTTCAAGAAATTTAGTATATATTATTATCTGTGGTAACGGCACAATCTTCGAAGAAATTATTGATATCGGAATATTATAGCATATAGTTGCCATACAAACTGACCGATCAAAATCAAATACTTGTATGGAAAACATTTTTATTTCTTAAGCTATCTTTCTGCAATTTGGCATAGATTGTTATCTAAGGTAACGGCACAATTTCCGAACAAATTATTCAGATCGTACGACTATAGTATGTAGCTGCCATATAAACCAACCTATGAAAATCACGTTTTTCTATGGAAACTTCTTTATTTGCCGAAATATCTTTACAAAATTCGACATGGATTATTAACCAGGGTATCGCCAAGCAAATTGTACAGATGGGACTACTGTAGAAACTAACTGTCATACAAATTGAACGATCTCAATCAAGTTCTTGCATATAAACATTTGTATTTATGAAGAGTGCTAGTGAAGTTACTGTTTTTTCTTGTTTGTTTTTCACAAATCACTTTTATTTCAAGCTCACCTGCGCCAAAAAAATATGGACGCTATCGCTCGTTGAAATCGCCCGCTACGCAAATGAATAAAATCGATGAAATACTACGTTCCGCTTATAATGAAAAAGCCGGCGGCAATAGTGACATACTAGACCTAGACAATCTAAATTCTAGCGTCTGCAAGGATGATTCGGACAACACGGATCTATATTCGGCCGATGATGGTACAAACGGCACCACTACAACCGACAACGAAGATATTGAATTGGTACATAATTCTACTTCCAATAAACGTTCACTTATCAGAAATCGCCTGCTGAATAAATTAGCAGCACAACAGGAGCATTTGAAAAAGATCGAAGACAAATTAACCAACGAATTGAATACACCAAAACCCGAAACATTTCGTATACACTTGCCAGAAGTGAAGGAGCTGCGCGTTGTAGAGGGTGAACACAAGTTGAAAACCAAATTTATTGATCACTTGGTGCTGGCGCATTCGAATGTACCGCTAACGGCGCTCACCAGCATAACGGAGGCATTCTTTTTGAAGGAAATACACGACGAAATGGAAAATATGCGCGTGACAAAGCTATATCGCATACAAGCTTACGCCTGGCCACACCTGTTGCGTGGTAATTCAATGTTCGTCGTAAATCCACATAAAACGGGCAAAACATGGAGTTATTTGCCGGCCATTTGTAGTCTCGTTGCTTATCGCATACAAAGTAGTCGCATTGCCGAGACATTTGGACCGGTCGCCATCATACTGCTACCGACCTCCGCACACGTCGAAGTTGTGCATAATTTTTGCAAGCGTTTACTGTTAGGCGTGCGCCCAGCAGTGACCACGGTAGCTTCGTATGGTGTGCGGAATGCGAATGATGCTAAAATACAATTGCTCAATAGTTGTGGCATACTGGTGGCAACGCCGGCCAGTTTGCTGCGTTTGTTGCGTGATAATGAGAAGGAGCCGCTGCTTGATATGGAGCGGTTGAAACATTTGGTTGTCGATGATTTAGATTTAATGCTCTCGCGTTCGCAGAACGATATCGAATTGGTATTGAAGACCTTATTTAAACTATCCAAACGCAGTAAGGACGCTGCATTGCCTTGGCAATTGGTGGTTACCTCACGCGATTGGGATTCCCTGCTTGTGGCGCTTATGCGTAAGTCAAATCAACCACTACTTTTGATTGGTGATTTTCTCGAAGCCGCCGTTTATGGCAGAGTCATGATATCCATCAAGCTCTGCCCGAGCGAGCGCAAGATAACCACAATTCTGGAATTCATCGAGCAGCATTCGCTCGAAAACGAACGCATACTGGTGCTGTGCAACAGCGATGACGATGTCTATGAGGTCGTGGACGGTCTAACCACTTCGGCGCATGTTTGCATTGCCTACGACAATCACGCGTCAGCCGATGTGCGCACAATTATCGAGGAGTGGCGCAAGAATAAGGTATTAAATGCAATTTCAAAATTTGGAAAAAAAAAATGTTTAACACAATCAATTATACTTTTTAATTTCAATTTTAGGTTATGTCATCACGCATACTAGTGTGCGCCGATTCCTCGTTTCCGGAGTTGCAAATACAGAATGTCTCACATGTCATACACTATTCAATGCCCACATCTTGGACTAAATTCACAGCGCGCTTTTCCGCTTTAGCTCAGACCTATGACAACTATGTGAGCACGAATTTCGAAATTCCCACTGGCTTGGACCGCCTCACAGCGCGCTCACTAATACTGCTTGATGAGGAGAATAGCATGCAATTACCGCGTTTAATGGATTTTATGAAGAAGCACGATCAATTGAAATTTATACACGCCGACATTTTAGCTGTATCCAAGCGCGTTTTGGTAGAACGCGAGGAGGCGCGCATATTGCATGGCGCACGCATGTGTCCTTTTGTCTTGGAGTTCGGGGAATGTGATGAACCGCGTTGTGAATTTCGACATAACCTCACACGTTTCGATGCGGTTGCCAAAAAGGATAATATACCGACCAACGGCGATATGCGCATACTCATACTGAAGGTATATCTCGTAGTGCAGCACTTGAGATGCGTTAAAATTACAATAAAAAAATATTATTTCTGATTTTTGCAGGTATTTTCACCCACCCACTACGCTGCACGTCTACTACAACAACGTACAGCCAACTCTAATAAATGGCAGGATATCCGACGCTCGCCGGAAGTCTGCAATTTCAGCATGCAATTGAATTTGCATTATATGAAGCAGGAAAATTGGAATCTGCTATGGCCGCTACACATCGGTGATTTGTGCATCTACAAATACGCCGATACATATCAACGCGCGCGTATACTTGAGTTGCCTGATGTATCAAACACTGCTATTGTTAAGGTGATAAAGCTTACGCTCAAGTTGATCGATGAGGGCAGCATTATATCGAGCGTTAAATCGGATGAACTCTATGTGTGTGCTGATAAATTCAAAGACTTTCCCGCACAAGCCATAAATATACGCCTAACGGGAGTAGTGCCATTCGATAACGAACGCACTTGGGACAGTAAGGCCACTAAAACGGTGCAGAAATGGATTATGACCGATATAAAGCAGAATGAATGTGTGCATGTGAGCATTAACTTCACGCTAATCGATACCATTTGGGTGAACAATGTAATTGTGATGGAGCAACTCAAACAAGTGGACCAATATGTGTACCGTGTGAACTTGAAACGCTCATTGATGGAGAAAAATATAGCCGATGTGGGTGACAGTAAGAAACAGGGTATACGCGAAATAGCTGAGGAGTTGGGATTGCTTGCGCATGGCGATGAATCGGACATTCTCAGTGACTCTGAGGGTGAATTCAAAAGTTTCAGTGAGAACGACACAAGTAATCTTATGAAATTTTCCTCGAACGATAACACCGCCGAAAGTGAGAAGCTACAGCAGGAGGAGAGGCATGCAATAGAAACGCAAGAAGTGGCGGAATCAAATTCGCTAATAAAAATCGATGACGACAATGATAATGTGGAAGATTGGGATGCGCAGCTGAATGATAATGCTAATAACGCTAAAGAGGTTAGTGTGCAACCATTGACATTTAGCAAACGTGTGCTGCGGCTTCGGCAACGTAGGAGTTTACTCAATCACATGTGATGCACTTACATTTTATTTGCTAAGAACAATACAAAACAATAAAAAAGTGACACAGTCGAAATAACGGGTAGGCATTATTACACAAATTAATACATATATACATGCGTATGTAGTATACAGAGTTGCAAAAATGCATTTGAAGTAATATTCCGATTTTTTTTCCTTTTAAGAAATATAAAACAAAATATAAAATTTTTTTCCCAAAATCGCATTAATATTTTAATT